CATTGTCTTTCGTTTCCTTCTAAACAGTTTATTATAGTTCGCGACAGGAACGGTGGAATTTAGTTCGCAGCTCTTTTGCGAACAGTAGTGTGTAGTTTCACTTTTGCGAACTTGTTGGCAGTAGTGGGCTGACCAATGTTTGGCCTGTGAAAGCAAGTTTTTCCCGCAAATATGTGTTATATTAGGTAAATTTTGTGTTTATCAAACGAACTAAAGAGCGAAGCATCTGAGTATTAATTGACATAGTTCTTCTTAAAAGAAGAACTATGTCTCTAAAGAGAGCTGTTCAGAACTAATTCGTTTGCGAAATACACAAATATACTATTCTTTTAATGGAAATATATAAATATATTTTTTTAATGGAAGGCAGCGGAATGGTTCTCCCGTCTGCGATAACGGCTTATGCTAGCGGGGCACCAGTGGAAGATGAATAGATAAGTGTGATGGGATCAGGTAAGTCAGCCTATCGCGGAAAATTTACCAGAAACTTGAATAAATGATAAAATCCTTCAATAATTAGTGTATAGTCGTAGTAGCTTTTAACCCAAGGACGAAGGGCAAGTCAATTTTTCTTAGGCCGACACGCTGGTTTTTCAAAAGTTAACGCATAACATTTATTTATTTATATACGAAAATTGTAAGTCCAAGTAGCTTACTTTATAACACCTATTTAGGTTCAAGGCAGTGAAATTAGAGCTTGAAAGGCATGACATCTTAGCCTTCCGGAATAGCGCATAAGTGATATCGGGTCACAAGATAATGCTGTAGGTGATGCCGTACAGCTGTTCATACAGATATATATGAGTGATGGTTGCCACTCACCATCAGGTGGTCCATCAGCTTGTGTTCTGATCCAGTTACATAATCAAGTATGTTTTTGTATAGTAAAGACTTGGTCCTAACTCTTTTTACTTTTTAAAGGTGTAGATAGATTAAACTATTGAATTTCATTTAGTAATTCTTCAATATTTGTTTTGTATATATAAATTTGTACAATTATAATAGCAATTGTTATTTGCTCAATGATTTTATATGTCCTTTTGTTTTAAACTGTTAGTTTCATATTCTATTTCTATAATTCTTGGTATTGCTACCGGTCTAGTTATTTTAAATTTAATTTACTTTTATTATGCGTTTATATTGGTTGTATTATCGTATCTTATCACAACACCAATTAACATGGCATTCGTTTTGATAAATTTCTAATTGGTCTTTTATGGTATTGTTAAATTGATTCATTTTACTATCTGAATCATAAAAACTATTTATATATTTTATTAAGAATGTATACCACAATGTATGAATGTATGAACCACAATGATTATGCATTATGAGATATAAATGAAGGTCATGACATAATTATTTAATTTAATGAAAATCTTATGACTGTGTTTTATTTATATAATAATAATATTGAGTATCTGTTTTATTAAAATTTATTTACAATGGCACTCAGTTTTCTCAACCTGGGTCGATCTAGCATGAAGATAAATAATTGTTACATACACTATTTTGTTTTGTATACTATTTCAGTAATGTTATATTGAACTTATTCCTGTGAGTACGGTGATGTGAAACTGGCTTCATGATGCCAGCAGTGTGCGCTAGAGACGGCATAATCATAATGCTTTCTTCTCTTTCCCACATATACTACATGAATTAATACTTGTGTGTAGGTATATGTATATGTAATAGCTATTTATGTTAGTAGCAAGGGTATCAAACATAATATAGGCATGATTGTAATCCCCAAATTTGTATTTAGAACTAGTTTTAATTTATTGAATATTTAGCTAAACATTTATACACACGGTATATATCACGTCATATAATACATGTATTTATTTATAATGTTTGTGTGTGTGTGTGAGTAAACATCTATGAAAACAGTTAAAAACTAGCTATTGTTAACAAAATAAAAACTAATGTACTAACGTGTGTTATATTTAACAATGTTTTTAATAAATTAAATGTCTAGTATTATTAATTAAGTGACAATATTAATTATTTTCAGATCTCAAGAAGATATTCCAGTATTTTTAACATGTGCGGAAAGGGTTACATGAAAATTGTAGAAAAAAATGAATATAGAACCAATATTTCTGCATGCTGGGCAGACAGAGGATTTTTTTATAATTGCCATATTAAAGATATATTTTTATTGCAGTTGCATTGCATTTATTTGTTATATTGCTAGGAATTTATTTAGTTATAGTTTACAATATCAATTTATTGATAGTTTACAATTTTGCGTTATAGATAATAAACTAATGAATTCATAATCTTACGGTGAAATATACACCTACACGCTATTGTTTATTAAAATTTTAGAAGAAATTAGATCATATATATTTTCCCCTCCAATCGAGCTCTTGACCGATTTAAATGAATTAAAATCACGACTGCTTGAGCCGAGGTTCGAACCCCTAGCTTTGCCGTCGAGATGAAGTCGTGTTTCTCAGGCAGGAATTGGTTTTTAGCCGCTCCGTGTAGCCTTTCCGGGAGTTTGGAGAGCTACCAGCACTCGGCGCCAACTTCGTCCTGTGAAATGTCAGCTACGGCTTACGGCTACGGCGGCTTTAGAGTAGTTCGAAAAAAAAAATCCACTGTTGATAAGATGGTGGCGTATTAGATACTACTCTGTGGAGAACTGCAATTTATTTCTACATTCCTGGTACTTTCCTGACTAAATGATATATAAAACAGTAAGGGAAAAGTCGCAGTAAAGGAGTTGAAGTAAGATATTACTATGCACATGTCTGGTGGAAAGAACATTACATTATTCCTCTGGAATGATATGCAACAGCGTATCACGGACTTTATTTGACGATCTGACGTCTGTGGTACTGTTTAAGTATGTAGGCACCTCGGTTATTGCATTAAAATAGAAATCTACACTAGGCGACAAAACATATGTAAGACATACATGTTACAATTATAAATTGTTACATTAAAATTTTGTGTCAACATATCAGATCAGTTCCAATATTCAGAGGGAAAGGAAATACAGTGTACGGAAACTGTAGGCTGTTGCAACTAGGCTGATGCAGATCGAGTTTTACGTTAATTCGATAAAAACTTGTTTAAATAAAATCTGACTAGTGTGAAACTTGTGTGTGGCGTGTTCTATGGCCAAATGTTCATCGAGTTTAATTAGTTATTGTAGCACATTTAGTTAGAAATATTGTAGAGGCGTCGGGGACATACATCGTTAAGGTTGGTAGCCTTGCATGACTCCTTAGTCCTTATGATTGACTACGCAACACTTCGGATATGGGTACCACTGGTGTTACACACCGACGTGAAGTCCTTGATGTTGTTTATTATTTAGGCGTCGCGGTCTTTTGCCACTTCCCATCAGGCTGGCCATTAGTTTGTTATTCCAGTTACATAAAAAACTAAAGAGAGAAAAATGAAACAAAATTTGTATTGGGAACGGAATTGTTTATTGAACCCATCTGTAATAGTAGATAATTATACTGTTATTCTACACATTTTGTACTGCTGAAAGTACCTACCTATCTCATGTATTACTATGTCTTAGTTTAGAATGTACTAACAAAATGCACCCAATAATACATTTATAACTCTTCATTTTCAATTGTGCTCTAAATTTCAGCGGTAGTTACCAATCACAGTACCTTTGGATTCTACGATTATTAATAAATAGTTACAATGCTAGATTTTTATGAGAAATGATAGCATAAAAATGTTTCATTGATGAATGTCTATGTAACAAAATATTGTTCGCTCTATGATTGTTTCACATTTTAATATTACAGTTTTGTTTATTATTTATCCAAGAATTCACTTTGAAGTAGTGTATACAAACATTTTAAAACTTCATTAAAATTAAACGCTCGGATACACGCAGCAGTTTCTAATTGACAGACAGGAAAACGGGTTACAACGAATTCAATCGACAGATTCACAAAAATTATGTACAAGTCGATCTTACAGTAAAATATCCAGTCTTACTAATGATAGCAACAGTAGAAGCGTTATTGAAATTAATATTATGAATTCGGTTTTGGACGGATATAATTTATCATTTCGACGACAAGAAAGTGGATTTTACGACTAGTGTGTGTATCCGAACGCAGTTAAAAAGGGGTGTTTCTATTCAGCTTCTAATAAGACAAATACATGGGTATTATTAGCTTAAACTATGTTTATATTTTATATATCGTTCGTGCCGTCACTTCATAATATTCATTAATAATAAGTATAAATCTTCCTTTATTGTCTTCAATCATTACAGTTTAAAATAAGGTTGGGAACAAACATATTTAGACAATAAACATTAAAAAGTGTCGCAGCGTAACAAGTGGAGGCTAAATCGTGCGTCGAAAAATTGCTTTGGTTCCGGCATTATAATAATAATAGTTCACAATGTACGGTTAAGGTTCAGAACCGTTTCCAACCAACATTTGCAAAGTAATCCAAAAAGCTACTGTTTCGATCATAGTATAAGGTGCGAACAAATAATGCAAATCTAATTATTTATACGTTTAAGATAATGGCGCAAAATTCTTAGTCTGTTTGGACCACAATATGTCTACAAGTACTTATGATTAAAAGCGAAATTTGTACTTAATGAACCTAATTACAAACACATATTGACTTTCAACTTACTATTGTTAAAATTGACATTTATTTTTAATTGGAACTTGCATTATCTTTTCCACCGCGTACTTGTGATCTAGATTTACCTATGTGCCAATGAAGAAATATAAATGTCATATAACGTCTGATAGATCTAAAGATAACTCATATACATGGTTAACTGTACTAAACATAAGTAATCTATAACTAGATTTCTAAAGAGTAGGTAATTTAGTAAGAGAATTTATTTATTGAGAGCGAGATAGCAATGTTCAGCATCTTGTTTCGCCTCATACACGAAAAAAGAAAATAGTTTTTTTGGAAGTGTTTTAAGTCAGAGTGTAATTAACGTAACATTTCTCCATTGTCACATACGTAATATACCTTAAAAATAGAGCATCGTTGCCTTACGAAATAATAGAAATTCATGATATGTACCAAAGTATACACAAACGATCGACACATCGCAAACGATACAATTCAATAAATAGCATTCAATGACGTCGTAATTATTATATACACTTAACATACTTTAGTACCCTTCGATTTAATGGATTTTTATAATGTTAATCGATTGTTATAGTTCATTATTCTTTATAATAATTAATAAGTGTAGTAACTAACTCGTTAATTATTCGTAATCGTCAATATTTACATAAGTACCTAGGTTATTATCAGTAAATAACAATCGTGCGATAAAATAGCGCGCTCTTCTTTTATTAATTCGTTACATGCGGAGTGAAAGAGACAACATTATTTTGTCGCATGACAGCTCCACTTAAGTTGTACAGACTCTGAAACAGAACTATCGTTCTAGACCCAACAGTAACGCTTCGTTCGGTTAGAAAGGAATCCATTTAAATGTATATGAAAATAAGTGGGACTTACAGTATATACAAAAATATCACATTACTTCGAGGCCGCAGCTTTCAATTACTTATTGAGTAGTTATTTCGTCTTCTTACCTAAGTTCTCAGTTATTGGTTCGAAGCGTAAGCTAGACATCGCATGAAGTAATCAACTCTATTTATATTGCTTCAAAAAGCAGATTCATTTGTAGGAAGCATTGTTCCAAGCGCAAATCACAATATCTGGATGTTTGCTTTAGCTATCATATTATCAGTGATTTTAAAAACCTGAACTTTAACAATAATTCATACAAAACAGCGCATCAATGCCCTTTCTGTATGTACTTCCTCTCACACCTACTAAAGAAATCTATGAAGAATTTATAAATCATTTATCCTATGTGCTTCGTTCATAGTTTGATTAGTTCAAAGTGAAAGGGCTACGACATCTACACGAGACAAATTTGAAAAGGATCAGATGCAACTTATTTATAACATTTCTCTTTCTACAAACGTTAACGTCTTAGTCATATTACAATTAAATAATACTTTTATACACGTATAAAACAGTACATATCTACCGGGAAGCGTTGACGTCTGTAGAATTAGAAAGACTTGTCACTTGTGTGCAGACACAGGTGCGGGACAGTTCCAGTAAGCTGCAGCCCTGCGGACCGTGCAGCCATCGTCGAGACAACGCCACACTAAATAAAACTATTTGGCTTACCGTCGATATACGGGCTACGCGAAAGCGAACACTACCGGCGGAGCGCGTGCGCTCCAATCGTCACTCACCATAACTATCACATACGAGTGACATAGAAAAATATAATATTTGGGATCCGTTTATTGCTAATTTAGGTACAGTCTTTGGTGTTCTCGGGCGAGGATCCGCCGGAGAGGTCGTCTAGGAAGTCGAAAGTGGCGACGGCGGCGCGCTCTCGGTCGCCGTAGCGGACGAAGAAGCCCTCGCGGCCGAGGATGGAAGGCCGGCGGCCGCGCGGGAACCGCAACACGCCCAGCCCGCGGCTGCGCAGCGCGGCCGCTACGCAAACGCCACGTTAGTCACTACTGGCGACAGTGGCGGCCGCCGCCCTCTGGACGAGACAACAGCGTGAGCAGCCGCGCCCCCGCCCGCCCCACCCAGCCCCACCCAGCCCCACCCAGCCCCACACGGCCCACGCACGGCCCCACCGCTCCACTGCTCTCAGGGCTGGCACCCACTTATCTTTGCTAATTATATTTACTGAACAGCAAACGGTTCCCATTTATTTTTAAAATTTAAGTTTGTGCCCATCATTGTTAAATTTCGCTTAAACTGTTTTACTAATACAAGAGTAAGATTTTAAAATAACTCCGTTATTTTTCTCTCTAGCTTTTAAAGACAAGTGGGTGCGGAACCGCATATAGGAATAGATTGTTATTCTTAACTGTAATTCTATTAATATTAAATTAGATTTGATTATTACATTTGATTTTGTAAAAGAAATTTTGATTAGTTCCATCTATATGAGCCCTTCTACTAAAGGTACTTTCATTCGGGTCATTTAGATTTCACGTCAATAGAAAAGTATTAAGTAAGGACTATTTTTTTTTTATTGTATTAGTGCAACAAATGAGAGCCAAGTTTTGCGGAGCGGTGTTTTTTATTATTATGAAATCTACTCAAAATGAGACGAGAGAGCGAGATGGTGCGTGTGAGTGAGAGCGGAAACGAGTGACGTGGCTGAACGTGACGAGACAAACATGGCATGACACGGTGTTACATGACAGACATAGACAAATCCAGCGTTTAATGTACCAGTTCCAATAAGTACGTAACTATTAATTTTATGAAACAATTGCATCGATAGTTAAAAATGATTGCTGATTGATTCAAATTTAGAAATCCCAATACATTTAACGCTGAATGTACAGAAACAAAGCAAAATAAAGAAACAACATGTTTGTGCCCTCATACCACCGTCAAAACATCTTAAATTAGTTACAATTACAAAAGGCATTGTATGGATCGAAGCTAATACAAGTGTCTATGGCTACTACCAGCGTAATTTAGTATCTATTAAAATGAACATGATGTTACATTATGATGACAAATTGATTTCTTGATTAGGTGATATGAAGAAAGACCAAAATATTACCATGCACTACAATGCAAACAGAAATTCTTGTTATCTTTCAAATTATTTATTTATTACATTTGAATTGTTTTTACTGGCAATGCTTTGGTCCATAACAGCGTACAAATAGCTTACAAAAATTACAAAGAAATTGTGCAACACATAATTATAAAACATAATAATAGATTGTCTAGTCTAAAGTCATTAGGATCTTTCAATCCATTACACTTTAATAGATTGATATTTACATTGTGACTAGTAGAATTAAATAGCTGAACAGAACTTACCAGTTTTCTGTCTCCTAGATCTATGTAGACGGTGAAGCCTTGAGTAAGGGGGCGGTGGTTCCGCTGGAGAGGAACCGCAGGATGAAGGAGACGAATCACTTGATGCCAACATTACGTCCAGCAGGTTAGCACGTGCCTGGAACATTCAGCGATGTTTCTTGTGTATTAATTTTTCTTGACGATTAATAGCTCTGTTTTTTCCTGCAGGCTTTTAATACATTGCTATTATAACATGAAACTAGATTTCATGTTTTCGTACCACTGCTTGTGAAATGTATTGGTGTTGTTACATACATGTAATTTTTTTATCTTTAATAAATATATTTGTCCAAGCGTCGTAACTAATGTACGTAGTAAATATTAGTTAATGTTTCGTTTTATCAGTATATTTAGAATAAGAACTGGACAGAAAAATATATACAACACAAGATATACATAGTATTTTCTAATTATACATTAGCAGAAAATCTATTTACCTTAGGGTCGCTGAAATCAATATCCTTCTCGACATGTACCCATCCTGTCGGTGCCCATAGTGCACCGTCTTTATGAGCATGTGTTTTTTCCTTCCGATCTTCTGTCTTAACTCCACTCGTAGTCGAGGTATCATTTTGACGAATCATTCTATAATAAAATTAATCGTTATTGTATGTAATGTTACATGTAATAAATTATTTTTCATTCAAAAATATATAAAATTAATAAACGTACCTATTTAGTTCTTCTATAACGTCTTTAGAAGTTGCAGCTTCATGGAAACTTAGTGTATGATCCTGCTTCACAATAATTGGTTCAGGGGCTGGAGCGGCATTAGTAGTTCCTGGTTTAAACTTTTCTGCCACAGGTATTTTAGATCTAGTCCTATTTGGCGACAATGGAGGTCTTTTAGCTCCCATAAAAGTTGGTATGCGGCTCTTTTCATTTTTAAATTTAGCTTCTTTTTGAGTTGTATCATTCTTATTACTTACTATCACAGTTTCGGCAGTAGAAGTGCTTGTAGTATTCGATTCAGTCATTTGAGGAGAACTCGTTTCTGGCGACGAACTTTCTTCTTCTTCTAGAACAGTCACTAGAGCTCCTGTGCTTCTTCTGCAAGCACTTAATACTTCTTCGACTAGAGAAATCTCCGTTTCTCCACTAGGGAACGTGAAGCTTGATGATTTTGTTAAAGAAGTTTCAGTATTTACCCTTTCTGTTACCGGACTTTGCATATTTAACATTATATTCACAGTATTTTCTTTTAATGCTGAATTATGGTCTAGGTTTCGACTAGATTCATGATCACTTTTATCATCTTTCGTTTGCGTCACAGGCTCCTCATCAACTGAGTTACCTATATCTATGTTTTTATTTATTTCATTTTTCCTTTGAACCTTTAAAAAATAGTGATCATCTATTTCATTTTCTCCATTTTCTATTCTTGACAACCCATCGAAATAGTCCTCTGATTCTGCGTAAGGATCTTCTCGTTCTATAAATCTTGGAGTTGATCTTGTATCAGAAACAATATCACAATGTGCAATTTTTTGCCGTTCATTGTGAACATCGCAAGAGTCGTTCTCAGAAAAACTACCAAATGAATCGGGTCTTTGTCTGTCTTCAGATACTTCACTACGGGGACCAATAGAATCATCATCAAAATCAGCAGCTGCATACGGAGGCGGCAATTCACGTATTTCAGATACCGGTCGTGACGACATTGAGTCAGATTCTTCTCTATCGCGACAATATTTTTGTTGTTCCGCAATAAAATGAAGAACATTTTGAAGAGCTTGTTCACGATCCTGAAGTGCCATAGCTTGGACGTCATGAACTCTCAAATTATTTGTGACTGGTAGGATGTCTTGAGCTGATAAACCTCTTGATGAATTCGATGCTAAGCTTTTAGTGCTCTCGTATTTGACAAGACGATAAAAATCTCTCGTGAAGTCTACACCGATATTGGCACAATCACCGTCTTCACTCAATGCTGTATTAGATCTTTTATCAGGTGCATCAGAAGTACTAGACCAAGATCCACCCGGCGAGTGCGCTCCAGTACAGTCCCACCGTTTATCAGATGTTTCGGGATCATCACCAATTCTACATTCATCAATTTCTATAGTCGCAAATCCGCAATCATTCCAAAGGCAACCTTCATCTTCTTCTAATTCTAAAGCATCATCTTCTCTTATACTAGGTAACGTTGAAAGCGATATTTGACCCGGTGTTGTAATCTCAGCAAATGGCGATTGTCGGTCTCTGAGATCTTCACATGACAAAGATAAGCTCCAGTCTTCTAATTCTGCCCTATCATATTCCAAATCAGCTAGGTCACGATGTCTCTGCTGTAACGCAGATCTTGCGTCATCTAATTCTAGCCAATGTTGCACATAATCTGCATCATATTGCGAACCATCTGCTCGTTCATCTCCAGTACTTCCCCAGGATACTCTTTCGGAACTTGTAGTGGAAGCTATTGCAACTCGTCTTAATGGTCTTTCAGGTGCCGGTTTCAGATCTAGTACTAATACCCCCGAGCTGGGCGTGGGACTATCAAGACAGCTTGTTGGACATGTAGTTGATGCTACGAGTTTTAGGCAGAGATGGGAATCTGAGAAACTTCGTACGACATGTTGAAATGGCAAGACTGGACGTGACGGTGGATAGCTGCCTCTGACTCCTGCAAAAGCTACACCTATTGGAAAATAAATATAATCCGCATCTGTTGCTAAAAGTCGAGCATGTCGTCGAGATTCCCTAGGATTTATTGAAACAATGGTTTGATTATCAGTTTCGTCAGATGCTTCATTTAAATCTGGCAATGCTCTATCAGCAGCGTGATCACTCTGTCTTGAAGCATCTGCTTGAACATCACTAGACATAGTCGAGTATCCTTCATCCTTCGCACCACTTTCTGGAGATTCCGCACCAGCTTCACATTGCTCGCTACTTTCTTCTTCAGCTACTTTTTCACAATTGGTGCCTGAAAGAACAAATATATTATTATTTAGCATAGCAGTGCTCTTACACTAATTAATAACGAATGAAATAAACTTAATTCACCTTGAACTGGATCGATGCTAGGCTGCGGCATGCTGAGGCTTAGCGTTGCTGGTCTCGCAGGTGCAGCCCACAAAGTAGGATCTACCGCTGATAGTGCACGGGCTAAGTTAGCAGGAGTCACTTCCAGGCCCTGAAAATATTGTAGTCATGGAGTTTCATTAACTGAAATGTAAGTTATTTCACTACGGCATAGTTAAAATAATAAGTAGTCTCATTACAAATATTAGAGCGGCAGTTATTAGGTAATAGTTGTATCATGTACTGATAGCCGCTGAATTTTTGTGCAAAAAATATTCAATGTATGAATATAAAATATCATCTGTGTAAGAAATTTAATTCGTATATCCTGTTTTGCGTGGACAACATCCATTCTTTCGTCCTCACAAACTATCCCATTTATAATATTCGTAACATTACCTTAAGCTCAGTCCAAATATCAGAAAGGATTTGATGTCGTCGTTTGTCGTCTTGGCTCAGTGGGTGTGGATGCGGCGCAGGTGCTGCTGGAGGAGGGGAGTCCCGAAAGGAGACCAGAGAACCACAGGAACCGACGTCAACAAGATGCACTGAAATTATAATGTAGTTAAAAATTAATAATAATAAAGCATACTATAAAAAAAACTTACTAGAATGGTAAACAAGACGACTATACGACGCAGAACCATCGCTTATATATATGAACAGCACCGCGGACATCACATTACTATGTAACGATCTTTTGCATTGAAATTACAGAGACTTCATATATCGCGCCTCTGGTTTTTCACTGTCATATCACACTTCATCCGAAACAAAGCATACAAAGCGATTAGCTTGGAGGCTGAAGTAGGTGAGACAGAACTACCTACGAAGACAACTTTGTACAAACTTAATAAATCTAAAATAGCACCTAGAACCTTAATAGATGTCTCACCTTGCAAGTCTTTCGGTGTATGTGGTGTGTGTGGAGTAAGAGGCGTAGCAGGTGATGGCCGCGGCTGCGGTCGTAGCTGCCGCACCAGCAGCGCGCTCAGCGCTCGATTTTGTGCTTCAAGTTCGCGGACCCTCGCGCGGGCGCATCCCAACTCTTCACGTGCGCTCTGTAAAGAAACATGAACATTTTTAGTTATGATAATTAGGTATATGAGAAATATAATTTAAAGGTAATTTATATGTATTTATAAAGGAAAAGCTCTAGACATTTTAATGTAGACAGATTTTTTTTACTATATTGTGTTTAAAAAATCTAGCTAGGAAATCAAAACTTTGTAATTTTGCATTAGAAGCTAAGGCGGTACAATAGCGAATTTCATACATTGTAAAATTTAAAATAATCATCAGTTTAAAATCAACTATTGCTACTACCTTACAAGTCAACAGCAAACTTTGCGTGTTCAATGTTTGTTGTTATTTAGGGATAAAAACAATAAGCAGATTTTTTAAATATGTACAAGTACTGTAATTTCAATTTGTAACAAGTGCACTAGAAATGGATTCTAATCTACATAACTACTCTCCATTAATCTAATCTACACACTAAATTAATGTGGTTCAAGGCTTTACCACGCATGGTATTGTTAATTTTAAATATCTAGAGCGGGACTAAAGTTATAAAACAAACCTAGTTTTAATAAACGAATTACAATAACCTATTTATAATAGTTCAACTATTAACGTGAACTACTACTAAATTTTAACTTTCATAATCATCCAGGACAAACGATTATATAAGTATAGATATTAGAATCAACGCTTAAACTCAATGAAAAGTCATTAGAAGTAAGCACACTTCGGAATAAATCGGAGATACGCTAAAATTCAAATTAGGAAGTAACACAGCTGAAAAACTTCCCCTATTTGGATACAGCTCGTCAGTTGTCCTGAATATAGGCGTGTATATTTTAATTATGCTTCATTAGTTAAATTAAATTCGAGTGAGGTAATTGACGGGCCGTAATTACAAGGAGGGTGGGGAATAGGATATAGCAAGACATTGCTTTCAGTGTTGCCAACTTTTAGACATCACGGAGAATTTAGCCGGGACAGAATCCTGTTTATTAAAATATTTCCCAAAGTTTGAGTACGGAGCCCCGTTGTGTAAATAAAGTTGTTTAAGTATCTATATAATTAATTAGCTTCAGCGTAACTTTAAAACATTTTAACATGTGTATCAGGTATATCTATTATATATATCTAAAAAAATACGAGACACATTTAAAAGAACACGAAACTTTTTGTAAGCTTCTGTAATTAAGTGATTACAAATAAAACTTTTGGTACATAGAATTCTTATAATTATTTCATAATGTTAACAGATACGTTATTTATCTTACTATATACTTTATATGTACCTAATCTAAGCACAATTATAACCGTGAAAAATGTCAAAACAATATTGAACTAAAACTCGTTGATTGATATGTATCTTCAAAGACATTAAAGTCCAAAATAGCCTTTTCGTAAACACGTATTAAGAAAAATGAAGCTGATATTTTTACAACGGCTAGGGAAATGTTATCCATGTATATCATGTATCTTTTATTTAGAGCATATATATGTACTTTCACATCAATTAGCGTCATAAACGTTGCAGATATGATTGATGTTCATAATGAGGAAACAACGTAGACATGTGAAATAAGTATCTATAGTATATGTATGTGATTGTTACATTAACAAAAGGAGTAATTAGAGATATGGGCTGTCACCCTTATGATAGAAGACTGTTCACAAGATTATTGGTGTATTAATGTGTAATTTCGTGGAGCAAATTACGACACTTGATGTGTGCAGATGATTGTTAAAGACACATTCTGGTAATTATCATTATAATTTAATTGCAAACTGAGTTTCGTACGTGAATATGTGATGTGAATAGATATGTGATGTTCATATATAATAGCTACAATTAATTTATAATTGGGAAATGGGATGATATTAATATTAAGGTTTTTTTATATAAATTTCACAGCTCAATTGAAATATATTTATTAATCGAGCATAGCTGTAATTCCGCCATTTTTGCATGACCAATTGGCGGCAAAATTAAAACAATATGGCGGCCACTAGCGGACTGGATTTAAACACAAACATTCGCGTTATCGGCCAGATTATGCCAGATTACAGTGGTCCAGGGATACGGTAAAATTATTACGGTGCCAGCTAAGGCCGAAGTGTCCCATTTCACACGATTTATGCGCGAATGTAGCACCACATAATCCATAGGGCGCGGGTAACGGGACTGCCATAATTATGAGAAAACAATTTCCGGGATGCATCTTAGCTTCGACCGGATTAAGAGATACTGATAATTCGCGGTCCTCTGTAGATTTGTGTTGGTTTGTAAACTGTAAAGTTGGAATGAAAACATTTGTGGCTTTTTGTATGCCGATATTTCGTTGTATTCGTTATATAATATTTACAATCAAATCGAAGGCAATTTGTAAGTTTGCAATTCCAGATAGATATGTATAAGGGTTAGGTATATACATATACGTACTATTTGGACTGCTGCTGTTATGTTTCTAAGAATGAATTTAAATATTTTCACCTGCTCGATGACAGAATTAAAATTGCATATATCTTCCTGTGTACCTATATGATTTACCACCGAGTATGCCTACCTTCTGCGATAATAAGGCTCGTACGACTTGTTGCGCGACATCGTCAAGCCGTCGCTCGTGTTCCCCACCACCCAGACTGACTGACAGCGCCGTCAGTTGACCACGCAGCCGCTCGTTCTCCGCACTTAGAACTGACAGTTGGCTTTTGTAGTGAGCTGCTGACGCCTGCAAGAATATACAGCTTTCGTCATTATTCTGTATTTTAAAAATATATGTAAAAAAAAAACTATCCTGTCTATGCCTATCAGTTTATTTATATATCTCATGGTGATGATATACACTACGATGGCCTGAATGAGATCCTATTCTGTACAATCTCGGCAGGTATCCCGTAATAGGCAGGTACATCATTCCACGTTAATTTCTACTGAAAATACCTAGTAAATTTAATAGTATAATGTGACTATTGAGCTTCAATAATACTGACAGCGTGATCTTTGCTCATAAGCGACATAAAAGTGTTATTACATTGGAAGATGTATCTTTAAATATTAAATTGCCATTAATAATTAATAGTGAAGAAAATATCGACAAATTTAAAGCTGCTTGATGGAAGAGGCTCTCAGGCATGGTATTAAAAAAATATGAATGGGGCCTATCATTCGCACTCTTAATTAAGAGACCGCCTACTGTCGCTACGAAAAATAAACAAACCACAGTAACTTGATCTGCACGGTTTCCACCGTGTCGGCTTGAAAATACCGCGATAAGGTATCCGTTTTCAACGTTAGGGGTCTTGTAAAGTTTGATTGGAATAAGAGGCAGCAAATTTAAATGATCTGTGCTGTATAACGATTTGATCCTTATGACAAATTGTGATAAGGTCCATATCAGGTGTAAATTTAAAATTGTGCGTTGAGGTTTTCATCAGTCATCAACTGGGGTGAGACACAAAGAGTATGAATTCGTTTGTGCTTCTGTCTGAAACAACACGCGGCTTGATACGGCATCAAAGGGTGCGATTTCGAATGTTTAGGTTACATTTCCATGTCTATTTTTAATGGAACACAATTTTGGGCTACTGCAATAGCTTTCGGCAATAGGCATATTTACATGACCATGTGAAAAAACAAGTCAAAGTAGTATATCGTTTCCCATTTATATTTCTTTATATCTCTTAGTTTTTAACGATCTGATGAAAATTTCCAGAACATTTATTTTCATTATTTAGAAAGAATACCATTTTTTATGTAATTGGAATGACAAACAAGCAGTTATTATCATCAACCCACCTGATTATGGGTAACCATCGCCTATATACATGCATAGTACTGACATCAAGTTATCACGTAATATCCGTGATATCACTCTTGCGTTGCCACTTCAGGAAACAAAGATGTCATGCCTCTTATCCTGTAATTTCACTGCCTAATCTGCAACCTACAACGTAAACACAACTAAGCTTATGCTTAGCCGTTGAAATAGATGAGACTGTCTATTAATGAAATAAAAATATAACTCCAGTTTATATTTTTATTTCTTTTGTTAACTATCGTGTGACGCACCATTAATTAAAAATGGTAAAGTCAATAATCATGTAACCTGAAACGGAACGTCAGAGGCCAGAGCCAAAGTAATCTATGTGACATTGACAAGTGGATGACGGACGATTGAACGGAGGCAGCGGGAGTTTTGGAGCGAAAGTGTTGATATTATTATAAAAACAAATAAGAGATAGATAATTGTGAATATTGTAGGCATTGAGGTGTTTCTCTCCTGACTAACCGGCATTACGCCTAAGTCGTCAGGATACTAGTGATTTTAAAAGTTCAGAAGCGGTACCAATCCCGCCTACAAATTCGACTGTAAGGTAATTCTGACTAGAAGTTGTGGTAAGTGAATTTACGTTAATAACACGCATACCATTAAACGCAGTTTCTCACTTGTTTTATTGAACTTTTGGATGAATTGCTTTCTACATATTAAATAGATTTAGTATGTACGATAACTTGCGAGAGTAATGACATGACATGTAGCACGATATTGAGGTATACAATATACCTAAGAAAGAAGTATTATGAATACATTAAGTATAGAACAACATGGCTATCTAATTAGTTTAAAATACAGAGTAACTATTGTTATGTTATTAATGCCTATGATAGAGTATGATAGGATATCAACAGATTAGAAACAGTTACATTAACTATGTTGACATACAGGTTGAACATGAGAACACATACCATGTTATACATATAAACAGTGTAATGGTATTGCTGAGTTTGTTGCTAATTCACAGTAAATTAGTCAAACTTACTGTTCAGTTTTGTGTGTTTGTTCTACGTGAATTGAATTGAAGAATTGTTATTATTTCTTTACATAGGTACACATATATGTTTGATGGTCCCATTTCAGATAAATGACAATCACAGGCATAGTCCAGGTATATGTCTTGATGGTGGTTATATTCCCAAATTGAGACACTGTCATATGTATATATATTATATTGGTTGATACTTTGATATGTGTTTATTAATGAATTAATAAAGCATATTAATATAGATAGACACAGTATATTGTTGACATAAACTGATACCAGCAACATAACATGTTATATTTCATAATATTAGATATTAAAGACATTTTAGATGCTATCTCATGATTAGCTGTGAAGCTCTCAGTGAAAATAGTACTTAACTCTGATAGTACAATTATTATATTTAATTCTTGCTGTGTTTTGAATTTTATATATATAGCAATGGCTAACAATTGGTAGTAAACTCCAATGTTAAAAAACCGAATAACTGTAAACTATTATTATTAATAGTTCCTTATTTAATCATTATTTAGTATAAAATCCAATTGAGATCTATTAGGATCCTCAAGGTTATCATAATCATATGATATTGATTATTAATGTGTTGAAAAAGCACCTAGAAATGATATCCAATTCCTCAAAGGTGTCATATTATGCTGGAATTATATATTATATGTATGCTCAGATTGAATGTATTATATGTTTGAGCAATTGGTTCACTTCTTTGATGCTTCTCTTGAAATTCATTAGAATGGCCCTTAGCAGCCATTGTTGATCAATAAAGGTACTTAAAGGTCCTGTGCAGGTACCTGTAGCTATGTACATTTGTCATTTGAGACAATGTTTAGTAAGTGAGTGTTGGAATTTATAAGCACCACATTAATATGTGACATGTTAGAAAGTGATAGATTACAGGTAAGACTATTCTTACATGGTTCAGTTTTATAATTTATGAAGTTGTCTTTTAACCTAAAGAAAAGCTTTTGGTAACTCCAGAAATGAATGTTATTGGCTCTTGATTGTATTATTGATTGTACAAGAAACCTGTTGAATTTTCTAAACAATACTTGAGCAACAAGCTTGTCTTTAAATTTACTATTAGTGTTATGAATATGAATAAAAGTTTTTGGAAATAAGTTAATATTTGTGTACATACAGAATGTTTGGATATATATATTGAGTCGCAACAGTGAGAGTATTTGCCTTTTGATGAGTTATAACTCTCCATACAGTAAATTGCACAAAATGTCATGATTTTATAATATGAATATGTACAACATACGACAATTGTTATCACAATAATGAAAATAGACTATTGTAATATATTGCAATGTATTGCTATATTGTCCAATCTTGTGTAGTGCATAAGCTAATGAACTGAAGATTTGCTGCAAGGATCTGAGCTTAAGTTATCCATTGAGTTTTATTATTTAGTGTCATTTGTAGAATGACAGTACTAAGAAACTATAAAGTGGACAGATTCATTGTTAAATCTGTATTGGAATTGAAATGTGAACCAAGGAGGAAATCATTGTTTAAATTCAAATTGTATTATATATTTGTGAAGTACAGATAATAAAAAAAAAAAACAAGTAGAATATATTATTGAATATTAATATAAATAAATGTATATCAGAAGATAATAACTAATTTAAAGCATTCATGAGTTAATAATGAACTCATCTTGAAGTTAGCACATGGATTGTGTCAAACAGTGTGGTCTAGAATTGTGAAATTTGGATAATAAACTTTATAATTCAGATATTATGGCAGGAAAATGGAAATAAATGAGTGCATAGCACTCTTTTGTTGTATATAGGTATGGACAGATGGGAGAGAATTAAGTGAATACATGTAAACTGTGATATGGTGAAATAGAGGAGAAAGGAAAAATTGGATACTATTTTTAAATGGTTTATGTAACTTACCTTCTATGTATTTGTAGACTACAGGATTATAAAATATTTTATGATTTGACTAATGAAGTTTCTGTATATTAATTAGTTATTATTAAATAGTCTCTGTGGGAGGCAATGTTAAGATATTCAAAGTACATAAGCTTTAAAATTATTATAGAGGAAAATTATGAGACACAGACAGACAAGATTGTTAGGAAAGTAAAGAGATATGGATATTCTAGAAAACTTTGCTGATGACCTTGGTAATGTGGTTATTAATAGGCTGCATAATTGTCCATGCATGGAAATTCGTTCCCATTCTATACAACCGTTATATATTTATGAGAATTCCTGATTGTTGGTGTTTTATGCTATGCCTTTATAAGCATGTGGTTTGTTTTATTTAATATAACTTTGTTACCAAAGAGGATGAGACTGAAGTTAGTCAGTTTTATGAAGATAGCACTTCTATACTGTGGCAAGCTTCCAATTATCTTCTGTGAATCTACTGTACTGTAGAGGACAGTGCATGGTGATTTCGGTATAGCTATGACAGGAATATATAAGTAAAAAAAAAAAAAAAAAAGAATAGGAAAAATCCTCAATATCTTGTGAACACAAGTTAATCACTGCAAATGTAACTTAGATTGAAAGTGAGATGTTGGTATCCGTTGGGATGAACAGTGATTCACAAGCACAGTATCAGTATAATTTATAGAAGAAAAAAATATATAAATAGTAATGATTCAAAAGAAAATTGTATCATATGTACAGGTATAAATACATATAGTAATGCCTATTTAACATTTAAATAGTATTGTGATTGATTGGATTGTAGGACTCCATAAAATGAAATTAAAAATTTAAAAGCCATATATATATATAAATAATAAAATGGCAGAGACGACAGACAAAAGAAACGTAGGACAGCAGAAAAAAAGATAAGCAGATGACATAAGAAAAAAAAAGGAAACAGCAGGAGAAGACTGGATGCAAACTTCCATAGAGAG